TAATAAAAAAATTAATAACAAAAAGCACAGCGCATTGACACAAAAAGTAATACAACTAATTCCAGTGTCGTATGTATGTAAATCATTACACAAATCATAAGCGTGTTCTTTTGTCGGTTGAATAAATGACATCTCATGTAAGTCAGGAAACTGTTTTGAAAGACAATTAAGACAAGTATTATTGCAAATAAATGGTTATTAGTGAAAACGACATTGCATTTATCGTTCAAATTTGTAAGAACTCTTAAAGAACTCTTCACTTTCCATGATGTGAGGTTTGAGCGAACGCGTTCGATAGATGCAGAAAGTGTTTAAGAGTAAGAGTTACTGAGTCATTTGTCTAAGCATTCAACACATTTTAAAATCTTGAATCCAATCTTGACAAAAATTGTATTTATTATATATTATCTAAACTATGGTTAAAAATCTACTTCACTTTGTGGCCACAAAACTGAAGGTTACCACATGTAAGAATTGCGTAGCTATTTTTGTTTATGCATGTCTTTTGTAGATCTGCTTCATTGCATTGTTTTGTTTTATCTTTTTTGTCTTGGTTTTGTTTTACATAAATATGTTAAAATATAAAACTAGGCGTTGTTATTCTTCGCTTTTAACTTCCGTGTTTATCAAACGTCGACTGCAAATTTCAACGTATTTTAGAGCTTTATTTTGTAGCGATAAACAATTAATTTCGTCACTTGTTAAATTAATCTTAACACTGAAGTATACGGGAAGACGAATGAAATGGCTTATCGTCCTAATGATTATGAATGTGGCTATGATGAATCGAGATTTAAGAATGCTGTTGATGAAAATTTTCGCTGTGCAATTTGTCTTAATGTCATGAAAGATGCCAGAATGTGCCATAATCAACACAACTTTTGTCGTGAATGTATTGAAGAACATCTACGAGTTAATGCACAAAGATGTCCTCGATGTCAAAATAATTTGACGGTAGCTACACTTCTTCCAGCGCGTGTTATAAATAACTTGATTTCTAAGTTTAAAATCAGCTGCGACTACGCTAATCGTGGTTGTCCTGAATTTATCAACGTTGAAGATCTTGAACGACATGTCAAAATTGTGGTTTTGCTCCAGTGTTGTGTTCTAATGAACGTTGTGAAAAGGAGATAAACAAACGAGACAAGATTAAACATGAAACTGAGTTATGGGAATACAGAAAGACTGCATCTCACTACTTTGAAGAGATTAAAGAAATAATTCAACGAAGTTTTGATCATGAGGAAAAAGAGAAAATGCAGCTGACTGAAATAACTAGAAAAATGGAGTCACTGACGAACCAAAACGCGAAATCACAAAGAGAAATGATGGAGTCGAAAGGAGAAATAAGAAATATTCAACAAAATCTTTCTACAGTGACCAAGGAAATGATGGAAACAAGAAAAGAAATAATGGATGTTCAACAAAATCTTTCTACAGTGACCAAAGAAATGAAAGAAATGAAAGTCATGTTGCTTCAAATATTGAGAAAGACGACTAAAAATGAACATTTTAAAACATTGCCATCATCAATTGAGGGAATGATGAACTCAGGAAAAGAAGATATTTTGATTGCTGGTGGTGTCTCGTCTGGTTCCTTCAAGAGTGCTGAAATATTTTCATGGAAGGAGAAGAAATGGTGTAACATTGCATCAATAGAAAATAAACGCAGCTTTGCTTCATCTTTTATTTACAATGATAATTTATTTGTTGTTGGAGGTGGTGGCTGCACGTCAATGGAGACATTGAATATAAAACAGTCACCTTTGACATGGAGGAAATTTCCCACAGAGCTTCCTTATGAATGTCGTCTTCATCAAACTGTTGTTTGTAAACAACAAATCTTTCACATTGGAGGATACATTATTGGCAAAGGAAAATCAGATTTGATCTATGAAATAAAGATTATTAGTACAACATCTCATGTTTTAAAAGAGTTGTGTCATATGCCTGAACCACGGTGTTACCATGGAGCTGTTGTTGTTGTCGACAAAGTTCTTTTTTTGGAGGATGGGGAAAATATAGCAAAGTTTTGTCCAGTGTTTTGGAATTTGATCCAAAGACTCTTACATGTAAGGAAATGCCCTCATTACCTCATCCATTGACTGAAATGGCAACAGTTCAATGGAGAGATCAAGTTGTTCTTCTTGGAGGTTATGATGGAAGAAAATATTTGAACAGTGTTATCATGTATGACTGTAATACAGGTAAGATTACAGTCTTACCATCCATGTTGGAAAAAGATCCGGGTGTTGTGCAGTTATAACTGGTGATACAATTATTGTCATGGGAGGTCTGAATGATAAATGTGAAATTCTTAAATCTGTGGAGTGTTTCGAAATGGGAACTAGTTCTTCATGGACATATCTTCCTTCAATGAATGAACCACGATATGCTGCCATTGCTGAAGTTTTACCTTTTGCGCAAAATTATGTATAAGCTTAAAATATTCTGTAAATAATCAGATCATTATAACTCAGCAAAACTTTTTAATATTAAGTTGAACAGTGAATATTTAAAGTTAAATATGTAAACCTTCAATGCTCTTATAGCGTTTGATTATTATAGTTAATTACTGAAGAAATAAATGACTTTAGTATTTTACTAAATACTGAGGTAAAAGAAAATTTATAGCATTAGTTTTTGTTCAGAATCTTTAAACTGCAGTGTATGGATTTGACCAGCTGTTTTGTCAAGTTCGTTTTGTTCATCCAAATCGAAATAACTGCCAATTGTACATAGTTATTTATTAAACAATTTTTATTTTCCCTAACATCAGGAAAAGTAAGATAAAAATACGAGGTTAATGGTGATGAACAAGCAAAAATTTTCACAGAAATAGAGCTTTTATTGTATGACAGATAACATGTCGCTTTATTGTATTGACAATTATATAGTCCAAGAACGACAATTTGTTTGCGATAAAGTGATGTTGAGACAAGGCGATGTTTCTCATCGAAGTACAAGTCTTACATAAACTAAAGAATTTTCTTTGCTTACAGTGCCCATGACACGAAAAATTTGCAATCTGAGTTGTACTTTCATTGAAGAGATCTTTTGAAATGACAATGGATATTCTAAAACAGTTTATGTACATCACTTTTATTACTTGAGATATTGAGGCTTTTGCTTTGTCCGATTTATCTAACTTGTGACGTCAAATTGCATAATGAGAACTAGGAGTATTAGGTATATTTAACGATACTTTACTTCACAAGGACAGAGTTCCCTTTGTTGTAACGTGGTTAATTGTATAACATATAAAGTTGTCAGGAAACTAAGAGTATTTAAAACATCGTGGAAACTCATTATGCAATATGACGTCACATGTTAGATAAAATGGAAATAACAAAAAACTTCAATATCTTACGAAGGGAAAGAGATATGCATTAACTGTTTTAGAAAGTACAATGTCATTTCAAAAGTTCTATTTATTGCAAACATAACTAGCAAAGTTTCGTGTTACAGGAACTTTAAAGCAAAAGTTGCAAATTTGGTTGTAACATTATTTGGAAAACCAGTCAATATCAGTACCACTAGAAGAACAACATTCTCTAGTTTCGAATTTCTTGAATATTCGGTCATGTAAACTTTTTAGGAGAAGCCGAAGTTTTTTTAGCAAAAGCCAGAGTTATGTAAGCTGGAGTAGGAGTTAAATATTCTCTAGAAATTTCTAACAAACAGCGTTGTTCTTATGTTAGTTTTAATCTCTCGCTGGTACCGTTTGTGGATGCATAAGAGACCTATGGATAAAGGGGATTTTCATGGATGATCAAACAGCATTCACAATCAATAATCACAAGCTTCCCCCAAGCTTCTCCAAAATTTGTAGGGTAGTTTTTTGAGATTTGTTATAACCCTTTATTCAATACAATAAAAGCTATATCTTCAATGTACCTGTTCTTCTTTCTACGTCACATCCGGTTCATAGTCATATACAGTACCGCTCGCGTATTTGTTAACAAAGAAATTACTCGTTAGGTTGTATTTGTTTTGTTAACTTGAATATAAATCAGTTTATTAAAGTTCTTAGAACGTATAAATTGATTAATTAGCATAATTCAAAATAGTTGAAACAGATCTTTTTGTAAATATAATATTTTGTGTTAACATCCTATTAATTGTCTGAAGATGTTTTGATTAAAGACGAAACGTCACAATAAATTCAATTTTACAACTTTTGTTCTATTTCTATGGCTCTAATTAAAGCTTTATGTTGGGCATTAATTTTTATTACACAAATGAGATTGACATTATGTTGAGCAGTTTATAAAACATTTTAATTATAGCTCTTTGATAAAGGTTAAATACCTACTTTTAATTGTTGATTCATCTCATTTATACTTCGTTACATAAAGTACAATGAATGCAACAAGCAAATATACTACAATCAAGACATTACACAAAATGAATAATTTAACTGATAACCAGAATGACTGGTGGTGCTCATTGTAATATACATATTCTAATGCAATGGCAACAAGACTAACACGATCTGCACAGACTAACACATGTCTGAGTTTGTGACTATGTATTATGAAAACACGGTGAAGACGCTTTTCTACGGTTGAATGGTTGTAAAGAAGTCTATGAGCTGTACTAAACATTGACAAAGACGGTTGTGTTAACGTCGCAAATCGTTCATACTAATTCAAATTATATCCATACTTTCCTTTTTTAGGATTTGATGCTAGCGTAACATAACTTTTGCTTGTTAATGGTCATCACTAAATCTGAAAGCATTGATAGTTATCTTTTTAGTCAAGTAAAGTCAGTTTCTACTTTGTTCTTGGAGTTCCTGTAATCTGTGTAAGAGATAAATACCATAGGTCACGGAAATGTTACAGCGAATAAGGATGTATTATTTTAGACCAAAAGTGCACATGCCAAGAACATTATATATTTTACGTGCAAGAAATTTTGTTGTAACACCATTACACCAACATCAATGTTGTCATTAATCGCAATCTTTTAGGCAAAAAAAAATTTAATACAATGCGTGAACGACTGAGCATTTTATTATTCATTTTAATCTGACACATTAAAGATATACATAATTTTGTTTACGACTAAATCCTACAAAATTGGGTGACCTCGCTAATGCTTAGAAACCCCACAAAAAAATCATCCTATTCTATGATCTTTGTGATTTAATTTCATTAAAGGCTGTTCTTTCAACATGTTAATTTAACATGTACCAATTGAAGTGTATGAACAAAATTCAATCTTTATGCCACTGTTAAATGTCTTCTCGCCATCGGGAAAATGACCGACGAGTTTATCTCCATTGGACTTGTTCTCCGTGTCCCATTGCAAGAATCCAGTTTTTGGTCTGGAATAACCGCCAGATTGAGGGCAAATTCCTTTGTATCGCATAAGCATCATTTGAGAACACTTGGGTAGACCAGTTAGAAGTCTGGGATCATGACGACAACAGAAGAATATTTTAGTATTTCTACCATACGTTCCGTCAGGAAGCATTCCGCTTTTTTTATTATTGTTCCTTGAGTCTTCGTCGTCCCAATAAATGGAGCCTGTGAAAAAAACGCAGTTTCTAAATAATCATTGTCCATTTATTTTTTGATAGCACGCCTGTTGCCAGGCTACCTATTAATATTCCTTGATCCATTGGTGGCACAGACTATGCCAGTATTAGATATTACGCGTAAGTTGCAAAGTTTGTTCAAAAGTTAAATGTTCGTTCCCAATTTCATTTGTTTATGCAACAGGTAATATTCTCAACTCAATGATCTTTCAGAACAATACATTTTAATTGAATTTAAATGCAGTATTTAAATACAAATACAGATAAAAACTATGTAGAAATGGCGAAAGAGGAAAAGTACTGTAAGAAATTTGGATTTGAGTTCTTCCATTCCATATACTTTAGGAAATTATAGTGTAAATTACTTACTTAAAACAATATCAAATCAGACAAGGAAAGCAAACGAGAAATTTATTAATGTCAGTATGCTCCATATTAATGCAACATTTTAACACAAGTAGGGAAATTGTGTTTGAAAAAGATTGAATGAAGAGATATCATCTTAAACGTTTGGAACAATTCATAATGACATCATTGCAAAATAAATGAGAGAATGCGTTTCAAAAATATCAAACTATCTAGAATCTATATAAAACATGTCTAAAGATGGACTTGAGTATGGTGGCACAGAAAGACCATACAGTGTTGTCTATTCACATTTATAGAATATTTTACTTTAAAAAAAACCAAATAAAATGTAAAATCAATCACCAATAGAAATCGAAATTGCTTAACAAATAACCTTAAATCTGTAAAACATGTTTTAAATGGACTCAAGTTAAATTCCATAAAGTCCGTTGTTGGACGTTCGAGACTGCACGATCCTTGAAGTTTTAGTAGTTTAGGATCTTTTTAACTTATTTCATTGTTGACAGATCATCTTTTCAATGCATCTGTCACAAATGAAGTGAAAAGAAAAAGAAGACTTTTCACAGTTAAAGTACTCTGTGGGTAGTTTGTGAACTTGTAACCACGACAAACTCTATATTCTATGACAAAAAATTCAAAAAGCTTATTGCATTCTTGTTAGGAATTAAATGCTTTCAAACAATCTTCTCACCTTCATGAAAATTCCTTGGACACGAACCACCGCATCTGAAGATGCAATACGATCCAGAAGGCCACAATATCCTTTCGTTAACGTGGTTCCTCTGACTGCAATTGGCATTGCAGCAAAAGGACCATTGAAGATTATTGGGCAGATTGGAATTTTTGGGCACCCAACCAGACGTTTTCCAGTTGTGGTTATCACTGGCTGTGTCATCTTCCATGTCGTGGTGTCGATGACCAGACCTCCATCTCGAAGGACATATGCCATTTCTAGGCATTGGAAGACAGTATTTTCCATCAGGCCAACTGGTTGCTTTGCACTGGATGAAAAGGTATAGTGAGCTGATCAGTATCGTGACAATCATGTTAGAGAGTTGAAGTGAACCAAATGTCTTTAATGCTTTTCCTATTTTGAGATGTTGTCTTGAACAATTCCTGTTATCTAATATCTAATATCGTTTGTTCTTCGCTATTTATGTGCTTTGTAGATGAAATGCGCTTAAGAATAATGCTCAACACGTCCATGGATTTAAGTAGACTCATGCTGAGACTGAGAATTGTTGAACATATTGAAGATTTAATTTTTTAAAGATTTATCGTTCCATTGTTTGTAAATAAAGCGTCCAATTTCCTGTGATGGAGATTAGTTTAGGAATATTATTTTCATGTATTCAACACCTGAAAAAAGTGTATACATTCTACAAAATATTTGAAAACTTTTAATCAGGTAAAACCATTCTGGCCTTCCAAGGTTAATCTAAAGTAAAACAATATTGTACATGCTATGCCAACGTCGACTAACATAGTCAGTAGATCTCGAGTTCCAGAAGCGGTACGACAAGCAAACAGGTACATTAAGTAGTTCCTCTAAGTTAACCCCCGCATGGAACTTTGGGACTCCAGCTTATATTCCTACATATTGGAAATTTCCAATAACTGCTAATTCATGAAAAACAGTAAGGTTTGAAACAGTCCGTCCACCTCGCATTTATAATTATCCTTTAATCTGAGAGTGATAGACAGTCTTGCTAATTTTTGGTTTGATATTTGCATACCATACACTTTAACATATGCATTTCAAAAAAAAGATAAAAATCGATAAAATGTAAAGTATTCCTTGCGTTTGAAAACTTCCAATGCATGCTGAGAAAAAAATGTGTTTTAGATACTTGAATATATAAGCTTTAAGCTCTAATTGTAAAATTTCACGCCTTAATAGTGTGTTGAATGTTTTGAACATTTCAATCAGATAACACCTGTCAAAACCTGTGGCCTTCCAAGGTTAATCTAATGTAAAACAATATCGTACGAGCTATTGCAACGTCGACCGACAAAGTTGGTAAATCACGAGGACAGCACGTTGAGATGAATAAACAAGAGAAAACGACAGCCTCTACACCAACTAACAATAAACTAAGATAAAATGTGTCGGTGTAGGTAGTGACGAATGAACAAAAGAGAACGAAAAAAAAATAAAAAAAATGGCTCTAATCAGAACTTTATGTTGGGCATTAATTTTTATTACACGAATTCGATTTCCGCTCGGCAAGTCTCTCGCTACTATTTTAAAAGAGAAACACGTTATATAATAAGTGAGATCAATCACATACACGAACGAGAAACCACGTGATATAAACAAACAGAAAATTTTTTACACGAACAAGAAACCACGTGGCATAAGCAATCAGACCAATTTAATACTCGAAGAAGAAATCACGTGATATTAACAGTCAAACCAATTATTTAGACAAACGAGAAACCACGTGATATTAACAGTCAGACCAATTATTCATACCAACAAGAAACCACGTGATACAAGCACTCAGACCAATCATGTGACCAGAGCGACACGTCTTTCGTCTAGTGCTGTAGTGAATTGATCAGTCTCGTCTTCAGTACCTTTGACATTTTCATTACACCAATGCAATCATCAGTTCCCCACTGAGCTATATTGCTACCATCCTCTAGTAAATCTTGAGCTTGGAGTATATAACTCTAAAAAAGAAATAACTAATGTAAAATTTGACGAAACGCGAAATGTCTGAAAATTATACGTTATGGATAAAATTGTACCGTCTGGGATAAAGATCTATTGCATGAAAGAATTATGTACCAAGTGGGATAAATTTGTACAGTCTTCAATGAAATTCTATGATTTTGGGACAAATACTTAAAATATTTAAGAAAAGTTGTGCAGTCAGGAATTCGTCAACGCTAAGCTCAAAGTTTTAGATTTTCTCCAGGTGGACCAGTTTCCTTTCAAAGAAAGGTTTAACAAAGAAGGGAGGTTAAGTAAAGGTTACAAACTACTGGTGATGATGTCTTTTCCTGTGACAAATTGATATAATCTACTGTAGTTTTTACTTCCCAATCCATACCATAATACCTTAGCAGGTGCCAGGATTTTCTCGAAGTTACCATGGTAACTAAGCGCCTGTCCATACGACTGTGCAATCTCCACAGGTTTTTCCAAACAAGGCATACCGACATCCTGTAACCTCTCTAATACCTAAAACAACATTTAAACCATACATTACAAAAATCGTGTCAAATATCGATAGCCTATAACATCAATAAATTTTACACTGTTGACTATACAATCCAGCTATATGAAAAGGTCAGTGTAATCACGTGAGCATCCATTCCTTTTTCGCTTATTGAAATTTGAAAATTACAATTGATAGTAAACGATATTGTGACAAACGTGCCAACTGTCGACTTTGGCCAAAAAAAGGAAATGCAAAGTTTTTCTTTACTCGTAGAAAGGGTGGAATAGCCAGAGAGAATATAGTGATTAAAAATTGAAAAGGAAATTTGGTTCACATAAGATTAATTCGAAAAATTTAATCTTTGTTTAACCGAAAACAGTGAAACCACACAATTTGTGATTTGTTTTCAAATGTAGGTTACTTCAAAGAGCAAATGCTCAAGTGAGCATGAAACCAACACAAAGTCTTTTTTTAAATTTTCTGCCCACTTTTCAGTTAAAGCACTTCATTCGGGTTTTTTGTTATATAATTGTTGATTTTGTCTTATAATTAAAACATTGTCGGTGATATTGGGTAACTTGATTGTTGATTTGTTCAATTTTGTGGAAAGTTTACGGCATGGTCTAATAGTCCGTGATCTGTCCCTCAAAAATATGCTTTAAAAATGAGTTTCGTTGGACACCTCAAGGAAGGTCGCAAAATTTTCAAAATAGATAGAAAGTCACTTGCTGTTTGATATTCTTTTTATTGTCACTTCTAAAAAGCTGCAGTTTTTTAGTATTTCGCGGTTGAATTTCAAAATTCCTCGCTCCTTCAATTTTGAATGTCGCCATTTTTGGTGCGGAACTCTTTGATCTAACTGCCGTTGTCATGGTGAGGCAAATTTATTAACGGGCGCCATCTTGAAAGGTGGCAAAAGGAGACTTTAATAAAGTCCAAGTAAAATGTAAGTTTTAAATGAAGAATTCTATCGAAAATTTTGGAAGCAAACCTAAACTCTCACCTTTGCACTTATGTACCAACATATAGAGAAGCCTGTTTTAGACCTAAATCTTGTCAGTTTTAAGAACTCATGGTTAAATCGTGCGCAACTTCACTTTTCGAAGGATAGCAACGCATCTTCCATAAATTTTTCCTTAAACACTAAAGCTTGGTAAGAAATTGATCATTACCACTAAAGAATTTTTGTTAATAAGCTTTTAAAGAGGCACATCATTATGCAAAGGTCTAAGATAAATGTAAAATTGTAGAACAAACATTTAGCAGCTTACAGCTATGTTACAGATTCCATAAAGTACATGCTTTCTGATTAACCTGCTTTAAGTGATGCAAGAGCAAAATAAAGTTTTAAAAGTATTGCTATCAGGCTATTAGACTCACTAAACACAAGAATTACTTTGATTCAATGTTTTGACCACACTTTCTACAAGGTCACTCCACATAGGATAAGTGAAGTCCATTCTTTACTTTGGAAGAGTAGAACTCTAAAATTTCTCTTTTTAAATATAGAAGGACAACATTTTTTTGGTTTTGTAGAACCTACACTAAGCATTAAAGTGCTTGCTCACTTACTTCTAACAGAGGATCTTGTCTCCATTACATACCAATGTCCCAAAACCATCTTTAGTTGCTGTTTCCATGCATTGATTATATAAAGAATGACTTCAAAAATAATTCAGATATTCTTTATTTTAAATCAACATTATAAACTTTTATCAAAGGACAACAGAGTAAATTAGTAAATTAGTATATAGATCAGAATCATAACTACATTTTGTTGAGAAATATATATACAGGATCACTTTTTCAATCAATGTGCCAGAACTCTTTCACTTTTCATGGTATGACAAAGACAACTTTTATCTATGAAAGTCCTCGCTAATCAAATTTACAATAAAACAAGTTTCAACAAGCAAAAACCCCAGCTTTCTGGCTTCTGAAATGGCTCACTGAAAATATTCTTTCTTGAATTGTAAACATGATCTTGAGCATAAAGCCTTAACTGAAGATTAACAATCATCACAACCTATGAAAGAGATTGTTGAAAAATACAAAAGTTTACCACTTCTGACATATTGTAAACAAATAGTAGCTAAGTTTGTTCTAAGAATCATATAATGTTGAGTTCTAGCTTGGTGTTTTGAGATTTTATGCTTCTTAACTGAGATTTTAACTTCTTTAGCAAAATACCTCTCAGTTGTATACAGAATGCAATAAGAATGACTTTAGCAATATTTACACTAACTCTTGATTAGCAATGGAAGTTTATGGAACTTACATTTTGTACCAAGCCGCGCTTGGCCTTTCTGTTTACAACCACAAATGGATATTACTCCTCCGGATGAAAATGGGTGGCAAACGAGTGACGGAAACTGCAAGTCTGAAATCGTATGGATGACCATTCCCTAGCGCCGAATTCCCTACTTGACAACGTTCATTGTGGTTGTAAGACTGGCTGCAACATGGCTGTAACTCCCAACGTTGTTCATGTAACAAAGCAGGAGTGAAGTACACAGATGTATGGTCGTGTACTGCATGCACGAATGTAGATATTGATGACGACAATGATGTTGAGGAAGAGGAGTTTTTAGATGATGACATTGACGACGAATTCGAGACAGACCTTTAAAAAAAGCGCGCCTTGTCTTGCACAATACGATTATAACTTTCAAAATATTATCTTCGCAACAATTGCTAAAATCCAACCTAATGCACGAGTGAAATATGTATTTCTTTCTGGAATCTTTCAGACATTTTATTTATGTTGCCAGTATTATCGTGCGGAATAGCTCTCTATTAGGTCTGGCACTAGCACACAAAATATAAATAACATGAAGTTTCCTAGGGAAAATGGCGGATTCCGAAATTGTAATGAGCTACAAATTTTAAAATTTTAATGTAATATAGCAAAAAAACTGCAGCTTTTTGGAGATGACAAGAAGTAAAACTGCGTTAAGCATGTAAAAGTCGTTC